TGCCACAGAAACATTCTGTAAACAATAGACTTATTCAATTCGCACGTGGGAACTGGATGGGTGCAGGACAAAGTACACAGGAGGCTCGACGCCTTTCTGTCCGACGATTGCGCAATCGCATAATCTTTGATGATCACCGCCGCGCCGAGTTTTGTAGTTTTGCCGGGCGAAAAAACGATTCGGGGGATTAGTGGAGCACAGACACGGATCAACAATCAGATTATCACAGGTGCTTTTTTTTGTCAGTTTTGCAGGGACTAAATGTTTTTGGAATAGTTAATTATTTTAATTACCGTAAATACTCTGATAGGGTGCCACTGTTTTAAATAGACATTCTTAAACGGCCCAAAAATAAGACTAAATACCTGAAAAGAGAGAAAGACGACAGAAACACAGTTTTAAGAATCACCGAATTTATTGACCTATAATTCTCTGTCTTTAATGCACCATGAAACATAATTATGACGGAATTATAATGTGTGGGGAAATCATAACGATAAACGGAGAAAGTATGAACAGCCAACTGCCCGCGGCGCGTTCCTCCTGGCACGGGCGCTTCCATGTGCGCGTCGAGACTTACAAGGGAAGTGTTTTCAGACAGTGGTTGAGAATTTCTTGAAAATTGGTACACATATACTTTCGGACATGGTCAATAACGAGACGACTTTTTTTCGTGCCCCTCGGTACCTAGAAGCTGAAAAAACGCGTCTGAAATTTCACCTCTGTTAAAGCATTAAAAGCGTGAGCGCGATCTCCCCCTTTCTTATACAAATTGTGAAAGCAGTGAGGAACAGCGAGTGTGGTGTAGTGGTGGGTACAGTAGTTCTTCGTTGGCGGTAATTCAAATGTCATCGTGGGTGGTCGGCGTCGGTGATTCCTCATTAATGCACAGAAAACAATAGAATAAAAAGAGAATGTATTCAGAAAGGGGAAAAGTCGTGAATAGGGGGATTTTGGAGCCCTAAATTCGCGACAGCCACCCAAACTTTCAACTTTGAGCCGATGTTTCTCATTTCCCGTATACTAATCAACTGATGAAATGTTTATCAAAATATCAAAAATATGTCGGATGTGTGTCAGATGTCAAATGTCAGATGTCAAAAATATGTCAGATAAAAATGTCAGATGACCAATTTTTGATATCTTTTACAGGAAATCAGATATCAGGGTTCAAAGTTGAAAGTGAGGGTGGCGCTTTATTAGTGGGTTTACGGTATACAGAATTTGGAAAACGTAGTCAACTGATAAAATATTGTTGATGTTATGATGAGCATTTTATCAGTTTATCCCTTTTTGATATCGTCTACAGATAATGAGATGAATGGACTCAAACCTGAAAGTCAGGGGGGGGGGGGGCATTCTATTAAAGATTAAAAATATTTTTTCTGTTCTACTGCACCTGGATCGGTTACATGAACTCTTTCATGAATCCTATCATCTACACAATCTTCAACACGGAATTCCGTCGTGCTTTCAAATCCATCCTATTTGGTCGCGACTCCACACGCCATCATTTCAGCAACAAGCAGGCGCATGTATAACCTTTTCTTCTCTACTTTTTTTATTCCATGGGTGTTCATTCTGGGTCATCGGGTCAACAAAAAAAATCTCGAGATTGAAAATGATTGATCTCACTTTTTAAACTTTGTGTAATGTGTCAAAACTTACTAGAACTATATTGTCGTCTATGTACAAACTTGCATTTATATTGCAAAAGAAACTTTTGGGTTTTAATAAA